AATAGGACTCTTATGTCTTATGGAATATGGTAAGGAGTATGAATTTTTTTTTTTTTTTTTTTTTTTTGGTTTTTTGATACAATAGGAAGAGAAAAATACTAACTATTGCACCATCTTGATTAATTGTCCCATAAGAATAATGAATTAACCACCGAACAATATGATCATGAAGGAACAAATTTGCCTACCAAGAATCAGCACAAAAGTTAGCTTTACGAAGCATGCGGCAGATTTGAACATTCCGATGAAATCGTCTTAATCTGCTAAATCAAAGAGCGAACAATGCTAGGAGGTTTTATGTCCCCCTTCATCATCTTCACTGCTTTATAATCCTACTTCCAGAACTTTTTTTTGAAACGAGAATTGCAACATTTTTTGAGGATGTTGATTTTGGAGGGAGAAATAAAGAAAGAAACATTGTCTTTAAAGAGGAACCAAGTAAGGATGATTCGGTTCTCATTCCTTTTGTTGTTTCTGATAGCGTACAGACTCCAGTTGCTCCTGTCACTATTCAAGATCCAATTCCAGACAATGCTATTCTTCCTTAAGAACAAATTCAACAACCTCAAGAATTAGAGTCTGTTCAAATGCCTTTGAGGAGATCTACTAGGGAGAGAAGAAGTGGAAGTGTTTATTCCAGATGATATTATAGGTTTCTTCAAGAACTGAGGATACTGTAGACATGATAGATGAATGAATCCAGTTAGTTTTCTATCATGCCAATGCAGATTTTCTGACTCTCATAAGTGATTGAAGGCAATGAACGAAGAGCAAAGCTATGCAAAGACAATCAAGTTTTTGGGATCTTGTGGGATCTTGTTCAATTACCTGAAGGAAAGAAACCCATTGGTTGCAAATGGATATTTAAAACCAAAAGGGATTCTCAAGGTAATGTGGAAAGATATAACGCACGTCTTGTAGCAAAAGGCTTTACTCAAAAGGAAGGGACTGACTATAAAGAAACCTTCTCTCCAGTTTCTTCGAAGGATTCTTTTAGGACAATCATGGACTTAGTTGCAAATCTTGATCTTGAGCTTCATCAAATAGATGTTAAGACTACGTTTCTCAATGGCAACATTGATGAAACAATATATATGGTGCAACCAGAAAATTTTGTAATTGGAGATCCAAAACATCTGGTATGCAAATTAAAGAAATCCATTTATGGACTCAAGCGAGCTTCTCGTCAATGGTACTTTAAGTTCAACTAAGTAATTGTCTCGTTTGGCTTTGAGGCAAATTTTTAAAGGCAAATGCTGTTGAAAATTGTGTGTACCATAAGTTCAGTGGGAGTAGGGTTTATCTTTTTGGTCTTATATGTGGATATCATACTTCTTGGCTACTTAATTTGTAAGGTCTGCTGCATGAAACCAAAGTTTTTCTTTCAAAGCATTTTGAGATGAAAGATTTAGGGTGAAGCTTCTTTTTGTTTTAAGGATTCCAGATACATCGAGACCTTCTCAGAGGTAATTCTTGGATTACACAAAAGAGCATATTGAATTAAAGTGCTCCAAGAGAATTTTGGTATGCAGACCATTGGATACCCCTATTGCAAAAGGTGATAAATTTAGTAATCAACAATGTCCAAAGAGTGAACTTGAAATTTAGGAAATGCAAAAGGTTCCTTATACGTCAGCTATAGGAAGTCTTATGTATGTTAAAGTTTGTACTCGTCCAGACATTTCTTTTATAGTTGGCATGTTAGGTAGATATCTCAGCAATCTAGGAATGGATCATTGGAAAGCAGCCAAAAGAGCCATGAGATATCTTCAGAGGACTAAGGGACATATGCTCACATATAGGAGATCAGATCAGCTTGAGATCATTGGGTATACTGATTCTGATTTCGCTGGATTCTGATTTCGTTGGATGCCAAGACAGAAGAAAATCCACATCTGGCTATGTTTTTCTATTGGCTGGTGGTGCTATTTCTTGGAAGAGTGTGAAACAAACTCTAGTGGCAACCTCCACCATGCTACCATGGAAGCTGAATTTGTAGCATCTTATAAGGCATCCAATCAAGCTATTTGGCTGAGAAACCTTGTCAATGGGCTGCGTGTAGTAGGTGGAATAGAAAGACCACTGAAGTTGTATTGTGACAGCAGGTCAGCCGTTTTATTCTCCAACAACAACAGGAGCTCTTCTCTCGATCAAAACACATTGACATTAAGTTCTTGGCTACGAAGGAGAGGGTACAGAGTGGACAGATATCCTTAGAGCATATTGGAACAAACTCTATGATTGCGGATCCGCTTACAAAGGCAGTGATACCGAAAGTTTTAAAGTTTTCCATGAGCACACCGCTCATATGGGTATCGTTTTGTTTGAGACTGTCTAGTTTTAGTGGGAGTCTGCTCTTTATGTATACATTATGGTTTTGAATGCTCTATTTTGTTTTGGATATGTTTTATCATGAAATTTTGTTGAGTACTCATTTTGGTTGATGGTTACACTCTGTATTATTATTATTGTTCACTCTGTATTATTATTGTTTTGCTTGATCTCACTTTTGTTGGTGACCAGTTGGAAACAAACATGATGATCACATTACATTTAGTTTTCATCCTACACTTCTATAATGAATCTGTGTCATTTAGGGGTATTGGTAAGGTAGTTGATGATGAACTTAGTCATAAGATCTATGGCGAATGTTTCTTCAGCTCTTTATCAATATAATTAATGGACGAGATTGTTTTTGGATACCTCGTATGACTGCGTTTGTTGAGCTCATTTTGGTGTATGTATTTTATTTAACATAACATATGTTCGCCCAAATGGGAGATTGTTGGATTTAATTTTTCTATTGTGGCTTAAATATGTAAAATTAAATATGTACATCAGTCCAAATTGTAAGTCAATTTTAAAAAAATGGTGGTCTTGATTGTGAATAAATTGGAGCTATTGGAGGTATCAACTAATTATAGATATTAAAGTGGTAAGACCATTATATAATCCCTATTTCGTTAAAGGACCGAATAGGAATTGTACTAACCTACAGGTATAATAAAGGTCGTGGTCCCCCAGAGGAGTTGAAATAACGATTCATTTTTAACGTTCCTTTCGGTATGCTTTTCCGCTAAATCCGATTTCTTCAATTCCTCTGGAAGGCCTGCAAAACAATAACTCTATACATCAGAATCGACGAACATCGATGTCAATACGCAACCTTTTCAGGTACGCAACCTTTTCTTATTCAATCTATTTTGTTGAATCTAGTGGTTTGCACGATCTAGGTTATTATTGAATTATTTGAGATTAATTATTAACATTATCCTCAATGCAAAATAATAAGCACAAAAAGATAAAAATAGGGAAACAGAATACTCCCCTGAGAGCAAATAAGGACATAATGCGAACAATCAACACTCAGAAATTTCGCTTGGAGGGTATTAATCTTCTCTTCAACTCGAAAACAGACAATAAGAGAAGAGAAGAACAACCGTTGATTAGTGGTGAATGGCGAAGAACAAAAGTGACTAAGGCTGAAAATTGCACGACTGTTCGATTCCAAGGAAAAAAACAAATCAGACTTTGGCTTTGAGAGGAAAACAAATCGACTGGTGGCTAGAGAAGGATGAATTGACCGGTGACAAGCAAACACCTAACGGAACGCCAACGACAATAAAAATAGAATGGTAGATCGGTCGCATTTTCGGCCCTAACTCGAGCAACTTATTCTTTTTTTTTTTAAGCAGAAACACAAAAAGAATGAAAAAGATAACCAGTGATAAGCAATGGTCGTCGATGAAGAATGTGAAGGGATGAAGGTCTTTTCGTTTGAGTTGTTCTTTTCGTTTACGTCCATGGGAAGGAAAAGAAAAGAAAGAAAAGGAAGAGGGAACGTTAGGGGAAACAAAAATAAATAAAAAACATTATTTTTTATATTTTTTATCGATTTATATATCGATTTATATATATATTATATAAAATATAATTAAAAATCTAACTAAAGTTTTTTAAACTAAAAGCTTAGTTTCAACTGTGTGACTGCAAAAATCTCTGTCTCGTTTGCACAAAATACTTTCTATAACCAATCAGATTTTCCACAATCTCCTTATGGAAAAATCTCCTGTCCTTTTGATCTATTATAACGTGTTCCACCCCAAACTTTAACTCAAACCTGATAGGAAAAATTAGAAATATAAACAAAAAAAAAAAAAAAAAAAAAAAAAACCAATACACGTAGTTCTAGTTTATAGTCATAGCTCGACTTTCCACTCCCTTTAGTCTACCTATGTTAATATTCCAATTTTTGAATTAAACCGATTCGCAATATAAGGCGTTAACCTGTGACCATTCACCTTAAATGTCTCACCCGACTTTAAATGCTTAATGTCTCACCGCATCGCATTTATCAATTGACCAATTTGAGCTTCCAAATTCTTAATAGGAGCCTCTTGATTTTGAAACCTTATCTCTGCAGCACTAATATATTTTGACATTAAATCTTCCACAGAAGGCTTCTTTTCCTGTTGTTGTGGAGGAGCTTGAGGTTGGAAACTTGGTGGCGGTTGCCTTCCTTGATTAGCATTACTCCGAGAAAAATTGGGATGGTTCCTCCAACCGGGATTGTATGTGTTGTTGAAAGGATTATTTTACTTGGATAAATTATTCACAAAGTTAGCTTAATTAGGAATTTTATTAACATGAAACATATTACCTATTGACACTTATGGTTAGGGTGCGCTCCACCACAAAAATCACAAGCAATTGTGACAATTTTAGGTTTTTGAATTAGTAATCCCTCTATCTTTCTATTCAAAACCTCCACTTAAGCAGCTAGAGATGTCATAGCATTAATGCTCTACAACCAAATGACTTCTTTGGTTGAGCTCTTTCATTTTGATATAAATACATGTTGGAGATCATCGCATCAATAAGAACATAAGCTTCTCGTGGTGTTTTCCTATTCAAAGAACCTCCAGTAGCAGCATCAATCATGTTCCTTACGTGAACACTAATAACTTCATAAAAAAATCTACACTTGCATCCATAAAGGTATTTTATGATGAGGGCACTTTCTCAACAAGTCCTTGAACATTTCCCATGCCTCATTATTGGCTCAGTCTCACCCTGTACAAAAGAAGAAACTTCATTTAATATTTTTATAGTTTTGCTAGTGGAAAATACTTATCAAAAAACTTCTTTAATAGATTCTCCCATGATCTAATGGAACTGAATGGCAAATATGTAAGCCAACTCTTTGCTTTATCCCTTAGAGTAAAGGGAAAAAGTTCTAACCAAACTATCTCATTGGGCACTCCATTATATTTGAAAGTGGCGCACAACTCAAGAAAATTGGCAATATGTTAATGAGGATCTTCGTGGTCTAAACCTCCAAATTGATATTTGTTTTGAATCATTTGAATAATTTGAGGTTTGATCTTAAAATAATTTGCTGGAATAGCTGACTTAACAATAGGAGGTGCGACTCCATTCAGTTGTGCCATCACATAGTCTTGCATGGTGCATTATGGTCTTTGACCTTTATTTTGGCCATTGTAAACACCATTATTTCCTCTATTATTTCAACCATTTCCTCTATTAGCTCCATTAGCGTCATTAATGACATTTTCTTAATTAACATGCACCATATCATTGAATTGTGGTGGAATTATACCATCATTTGGAGGATCTACCATATTAGCTTGTCGAGCTAATCTTCTTCTTAAGCCAAAAGTTATGTTAGGCTCTGGATCAAATTCTTCCCGTGATAAACCACTAGCTCTAATCATACACCAACAAGACTATCTGAAAGAAACAAGCTCAAACAAAAACTATAAAATCTCAAATTACTAAACAAATATAAGAAAATTTTCAACCAAATCTATGGTCCCCAGCAACGGGCTAAAAAGTTGACGCATCCTAGGCAACACTTGTAACACCCTCCGCCCAGTGCCGTGAGACCCGACAACGGATGCCACATTCGGTGCCGGAGACACCGTCTTAACTTAACATACAAATCATAAAATTAGATTCTGAAGTAGAAGTAATTACGGGCTAAAAAGTTTGACGGGCATCCTGAAGGCAACACTGTGTAACACCTCTGCCGCCCAGTGCCGTGAGCCGAACAACAGGATGCCACATTCGTGCCGGAGAACACCGTCTTAACTTAACATTTTTACAAATCAATCAAAATTAGATTTTGAAAGTTAGAAGTAATTGAGTATTCACAAGTTTAAGCGAGTAATATTTTTTTTTTTATGGATAATCATTTCCTTTCCATTTTCATCTCTTTTTTTTTTTTGAAAAAAATAGATTGGGAAAAATCCTACAATGAAACTACTGTATAGAATTTCCCTTTAAAAACTGAGCTCCGCCAAACATGTTGAATACAAACACTCCCAAGTTAAACTCCAAACTCCCAACATCTCCAAATGAATCAATCATAACACAGAACAAGCACTTCTATAATTTTCATAAAACTATATAAATTCCTGCAAATATCATTTTAATATTCATCAATTAATTATACTCCATTCTTTCCATCGGATCTAAATAAAGAATATTATCCCCCTCTCCTATAGCACCATTCAATGACCCGATATAATATTATTTATTATTTCAATTTTAAGATTCGAAAATTTTGGGAGCAAAGTGTACAACACTAATAAGTGTAGTATTCATTTCAAGTAAGTATAGGACTTAGAAGTCCTAAATAGTCGTTCCCCGTCAGAGATCAAAAGTTTGGAAACGTCAATTAATCCAAAGGTTATCCCCTATTCATGTTGAGAAAAATGATTAAATGAGAAGATTGCAATTAAGTAAACTAGTTGAAATTAAACAAGACAAATAATTGAAATTATAGATAAACCAATGACTTAAAGAGTTAGAATGCAACAATCCACCTTGATTAATTAGGAGCAATTTCTATAGGTGGAAAATAAAATTTGAGATTGGTGATGTTTCTTCTTGAGAGCTTTAAAATTTGAAATACTCTTATCTAGAAGAATAAAATTTTCAATTCAATTTTTGAATCTCTTATTCCTTTAGGAAACTTAAAGATTCACACCTTGATTAATTAGGATGCAATTTCTATAGTGAAAATAAAATTTGAGATTGGTATGTTCTTCTTGAGCTTATTTGAATATCTTATCTAGAAATAAATTTTCAATTCAATTTGAACTCTTACCAGGAAACTTAAAGATTCAATTGCATAAAATTGAATCAATTTTTAATTCCTCCTACTAGGAAATGAATTAAACCACAAATCAATCTTAGGCCTTCTATCATAAAACACCAAAGAATAATAAGTTATGCAAAAATCATAAGAACGTACATGAAATTGATTTACCCAAAATTCTTAATTCTTCCACGAGAAACAAACTAAGGAAATAGAATCAATCAAACAACACACAAGCATTAAGATCAAAGTTTTGTATAAATCTCAAATTGAAATTCATATATTAGAAATTAAGCATCCATCAAAATCAAGGGTTCATATTTCTCCTAACAAAAGAGAACTACTCCATAGCTATATCAAAAGAATAGAAGAAAGAAAGAGAAGAATTCATGCTTCAATCTAGAAATTATAGAAATAGAAATCAAACTAGAAAATCCAGTCTTTGCCTATGGCTTCTTTCTCCACAAAAGTAAGGAAGAATAGATTTTTCTCTTTTTTTTTCTAAGTTCTAAGATGGCTAATCATATCCTTCCTCAAAATCTATACTTTTTCACCCATAAAGCCCTCGTAATAATATGTGATAAAGAGAAGTGTAAAAGCCTCTCCCAAAACCAAAAGGTTCTTTTTCCATAACCATCCATCTTCTAACTTCTCTTTTATTTTCCAAGATCAGGTTATGGTCTCCGAAGTTCTAGCACTTTTCCATAGCTGTTTCTGATTTCCACAGTTGAGTTATGAAAATCTCTGTACCCAAGCTCTTTTCTCCAAATCGCATCAATTTTCTTCCAGGACTCCATAACCACCAAAATACCTATAAAAACATTAAAAACAACTAAAATAAATCAAAAAATAAATAGACACAAAAATTAAACAAATTTGTTAACAAAATCCATTGAAAACACACCAAAAAGACACCATAAACACTAAAAAATTATGAAAAATATCTAAATATCAGCTTGCTTGAGATTTTGGGAGGCAGCCTTTACTTCATCGGTATAGCTAAACTGACTCTTTTTAAGAGATTGGTAAGTGGGCGAGCTATCAATCCATGATTGCATACTTATTTTCTGTAATAACCTGTAAAGCCTAAGAATCCATGGAACTCAAAGACATTAGTAGGCCTAGGTCAATTGAGCATAGTTTTAATTTTTTTTTTCCTTATCAACCTTAACTCCATATGATGAGATAACAAGCCCCAAATACTCTTGCTCTTATAGGCCAAATGCACATTTGGAAATTTTAATTAAAAATTAGTAATGCCTTAATATCTCAAGTGCCTTCTTAACATGTTCAAGATGCATGTGCCAATTGGGACTATGTATGAAAATATCATCAAAAAATACTAGCATGAACTTGCAAAGATAGAGACAAAATATGGTGTTTATGATAGCTTGAAAAGTGGATGGGGCATTGCAAAGGCCAAAGGGCATGACAAAATATTTATAATGTCCATTGTGCGTGTGAAAAGCAATTTTATGGATGTCTGGTGGGTGGACTCAAACTTAGTGATATCCGGCTCATAAATCAAGTTTAGTAAAGTAACATGCCTTATGGAGCTCAACTAGCATTTCATCAACTATAAGGATTGGAAATAGTCCTTTACAGTTATAGTATTAAGGGCCCTATAATCGGTCCAAAATCGCCATGTCCCATCTTTCTTTTTAACTAGCTATAAATGGACTAGTGTTAGGTCTAATGAGCTCCAATTTTCATATGTCATGAACTTGTTTCTCAATTTCATCTTTTTGAAAATAGGCACACATGTAAGGCTTAACATTCACTGGTTACGTTCCTTCCTTCAGGTTAATGTGATGTTCTACTTCTCTTAAAGGATGTAACTGATTCAGCTCTTAAAATATGTCCTTAAATGCATTTAGGAGTTACTGCATTTCAGGATGAACACCTTATAGGGTAGCTTTGTTAGTAGTTTGATGGCAAAGAACCATGATTTAACTGCGATTTCATACCTCCTTTGTGATGGACTTCAAAGAAGCTGTTTGAATTTGCTAAGAATCTACGCCTTGCAATTTTCTGGTTTGATTGTCGTATTGAAAATCAATCATCAATTACTTCCAATCACATATCACTGCTCCCAATTGCTCCAACCAGTGAATGTCTAACACCAAATCCAAAGCCATTAAAGGTAAAGAATAAAGGGTAAGAGAGAAAGTGATACCTTAGGTCATCACTTAGGCATTCTCGAATTTGCCTTGGCATTTGAATGGCATCCCATTAGCCACTTTCACATCAAATGGTTCAGTAGGAATAACAAATAGATTCAATACACTAATGAAATTATGGGTGGAGCCAATATTGGTAAAAACAACCATTTCATAGTGCCCAATTTTAGTAAGCACTCACATGGTTTTATATGTTGTCAATCCGATCAAAGCATGTAAAGATATTTCAAGTTGAGAATCCTCTTCATCTGAGTTATCTGGGTTACCTTCTAATAATAATAGTTACGGCCCTCGACATTTATGACCTGTGTGAATTTTGCATCACAGTTAAAGCATAACCCATGAGCATGCCTTTTTTGTGTCTCATCCCAAGTGAGTCGTTTCACAGGTGAAGTCGTCTTATTTGTTATTAGGGATGTGGAGTCTTATTGAGTAAGAGGCATGCCAATTTTCTTTGACGAGTTAACTGCTTATCTGAGCCAAACTGATAGCTTCTTTCAAGGTCTTCAGTTTGAAATTCTGATTCCATCGGCAATTTTAGGCTTGAGTCCACCCATGAAAGTGCTAACTAAGGCTTTTTGAGACCATCCTTGCACCTAGTTCCCAAGTCTTTCAAACTCCTTTTGGTAATCATGCAAGGATTCAGTTTGTCTAATCTTTGATAAGATTTCATCAAAGTCCTTATAGTCGGTAGGACCAAAATGAGCCCATAATTCTTCTACAAAGAGTTCCCATATCAGTGTTGTACCATCATCCATGAGCGTCCTACATAACCATTGCCGCCATATGTTTACTTCTCCT